TATACATATATATATGAAAAAGTCAAAAGTGGAACCTCTCTGCATTTACCATGGTCCTTACTTCCCAGTGGTTCACAAACAAGATTTTTAAGACTGTTAAGTCACTCATGAAAGCCTTTCAGGTGGTATTTTGTGCTAGTCATGTTGCTAAGATAGAGTTTTTGCTTATGGCACTAAAGGATAATTTTGTTAGTTGATTGAAAATATGTCTCTCATAATTAGTGACTCATCAGAAACTCCAATTCATTCTGGGAGATTTGGACTTTTTAAAACAATTTATGTATTGGTTGGTGTGTTACTGTAGTGTTCTATTTTGTGGGTTGATACTTTACAGAGGTTTAGGAAGCCAGGGTCCTACATTACTTAGGTGGCCACATAGCTGCTGAGGGGTGCCTTGTTAATACTGCAGTTATGACTTTCCAGAGGCTAATGAGATGCTCTCTGGGGGTGTACCAGGGAGAATTTTGTAGCTCTTACTAGCAAATAGATGAGCTTTTGTTTTTCCTGGTGAACGCATTCTAGATCTTGAAGTATATTGACTTTGAGCCTCCCAATGAGAAAGGAGAAAGCTACAGGGATTTGGAGAGGAGATGGGATTGGAAATGCCTCAATGACTCCATATTCATTAGAAAAGTGAATAAACAAAGGCTATTCACTAATGCAGAAAAGCAATGCTTCTCCTCTCAGCAAGTTTCCTGCCTTCATTACTAATGGCCCTAGATCTTATTATCCTTTCTCAGGCTTGGATTTTATGCAACGAGAAAATTAAGCAAATAAGTGATTTTTGCTTTCTTCCATTTCCTTAGATTTCCCTACTGATTATAAAGAACAGGAATTATAATTGAATAAAAGGGGTGGTTTTGTGAAGAGATCATTAGTATAATACTAGAGGCCCAGTACATGAATTCATGCGTGGATGGGGTCTGGCTGGCTGGCCCAGCCCCAATTGGGGCGGATCGGGACCAGGTCTGCCGGGACGAAGAGGCAGTGGAGGTTAACCAGCCAGCCCGCCCCGATTGGGGCCCAATTAGGGCTGGGCTGGCTGAGGGGAGGGGCCATGAGTGATTGGCCAATAGGACCTGCCCCCGATTGGGGTGAGGGGACTGATTGGGGGCAGGGTCAGCCATGGGGAGGGGCTGTGGGTTGTGAGCTAGCTGCCCCCCTTGAATGGGGTGAGGGGGTTGATAGGTGGTAAGCAGCCAGAGGAGGGATCATGGGAGGTTGGCCAGCCAGCCCCACCCTGTTTGGTGTGGTGGGGGCTGATCAGGAATGGAGCTGGCTGGGGAGAGGGGCCGCAGGACCATTGGGGTGGTGGGGGCTGATCAGGGGTGGGGCCAGCTGTGGGGGGGGGCGTGGGGGTGGGTGGCTGGGGGCTGTGGGAGGTTGGCCGGCTAGCCCCACCCCCAATAGGCGTGGGGGGCCAATTGGGGGTGGAGCTGGCTGGGGGGAGGTGCTGTGGGCTGATCAGGGTGGTGGGACCCATCAGGGTTGGGGCCAGCCAGGGGGAAGGGCCACAGGGGGGGGTTGGCCTGTCACCCTGCCCTTGATCAGGGTAGGAGTGGCCAATCATGGGTGGAGCCAGCTGGGGAGAGGGGCCGCAGAAGGTTGGTCAGCCAGCCCCACCCCCTGATTGAGCCAGTTCGCTGGCCGAAGTAGGCATTATTGTGACTGGTTGTTCCTGTCATTACGGCATTACAGTCGCTGGCTTTTTATATAGAGAGATAGGACTCCTCTTTCTATCTTGTTTATTCTAGGCCAGCCTTAATAGCATGCTGAGTGTTTACAGTGAAACAGGAGACTATGGCAACGTGAAGGTCAGTGGTGAAATCCTTCTCCACATCAGCTACTGCTACAAAACTGGCGGGCTCCATATTTTTGTCAAGAATTGCAAAAATCTGGCCATAGGAGATGAAAAGAAACAGAGGACAGATGCGTAAGCACATAAAATATTCTGCTGTTTATTTCAATAGTTGCATTTTTTTGTCAATATATGTGCTTCTTTTATAGAAGACTAGAGACCTGGTGCATGAAATGCATGCATGGGAGAGGGTCCCTCAGCCCAGCATGCACCCTTTAGCAATCCAGGACACTTCAGGCGATGTCCGACTGTGGGTTTAGGTCCAATTCCATAGGGATCCCTGTGGGATCAGGCCTAAACTGGCAGTCAGACCTCCCTCTTGCAATCCGGGACCACTGGCTCTTAAACTCTTGCCTGCCTGCCTGATTACCCCTAACCACCTCTGCCTTGGCCCCCACCATGGCGGCTTCGTCCAGAAGGACATCGGAATGACATTGGAAGGTTGTTCAGCTGTCCAGTCTAATTAGCATTTTATGCTTTTATTATTATAGATTCTTTTTTAAGCTTATTTATCTTTTTTCAATTAAATTTTTTGGGGTGACATTGGTCAACATGAATTTATAGGTTTAAGATGTGATTTTCTATGTTATAAGATCTATATATTGCACCATGTGCCCATCACCCAAAGTCAAATCTTCTCCTGTCACCTTATATTAGGATCCTCTTCTCCCCCATACCATTCACCCTGGCAACCATCACACTGCTGTTTGTGTTCGCGACTTTTAGTTTTATATCCCATATATGAGTGAAATCATGTAGTTCTTAGCATTTTCTGACTGACTTATTTTACTTAGCATAATGTTCTTAAGGTCCATCCATGTTGTTGCAAATTTACAAATGCCACTATTTCAGCCTTTCTTATGGCTGAGTAGTATTCCATTGTGCATATGCACCACATATTCTTTATCTAGTCCTCTATTGCAAAACACTTTTGTTGTTTCCATCTCTTGGCCACTGTAAATAAAGCTGCAATGAACATAGGGGTACATATTATCTTTTTGAATACATGATTTCCAGGTTGTAGGATATTTAACCAGAAGAGGGATTTCTGGCACATATCGTAACTATATTCTTAATTTTTTGAGGTATTGCCAGACTGCTTTCCATAGTGGTTGTCTGCATTCCCACCAGCAGTGAATGAGGATTCTCTTTTTTCCACAACTTCTCCAATACTTGTTATTGCTTGTCTTGTTGATAAAGGCTACTCTAAAAGGTGTAAGGTAGTGTCTTATTGTAGTTATTATTTGCATTTCCCTAATTGCCAGTGAGGTTGAACATCTTTTCGTATAACTATTGGCTGTTCATATGTCTTCTTGGGATAGCTATATTTTTATGTTTTCTGCCCCCTTTTTTTTTTTTTATTGCGTTGTTTGTTTGGTGTTGAGTTTTATGAGTTCTTTATATATTTTGGAAATTAAACCTTTT